CGCGCTGGCCTCGTGGGGGTGGGGGGAGCGTCGCAAGGATCCTGGAAGTCTCACCCAGACCCTTGCGACTCTCCCCCCCACAGGGCCAGTGGGGACAAAATCGCTGCCTTCGTTCCATAAGATGCACAGACTTCCCCCGCAGAATTGGGGGGGAAGTGTGTCTTATGGAGCAAAAAATACGGTATATAACACCATGCTATGTACTCAGTAATGGTCATAATGGACTATATTGAAACTTCCTAGGTAAAAAAGCACATTTTTTTTTCAAATGCTATAGCCACATATATTTAAATGGGTTGAAAACTGAATAATTAACATTATAAAAATCTTCTTAAGAACGAACTCTTCAGTTTCTAAATGCATTTATTCATAAATAGGTAAGATTACATAGAAGTAAATTTAAAGGAAAAAAAGTGGGAATTACCTAGTGATTTGAACTGTGCAACTTCAAGACAATTTAGTCAAAAACTTCAAGAACACTCTTTTTCAATTTAGGAGCAGAAATTAATATTAAAGTGCCCTACTTACTTCATCAAATATGAAATCATTTACATTGATTTCTTTATAGTCTTCCTCTGCTTCATCACTTTTAACAGCTGCCAGAGCACTAGCGAGCTTCTTTCGTAAACGGAAACCTTTCCAGAGTGCCTAACAAAAATGTAAAGCATGTTATATGAGGCCATAGATCAAATCCAAATCCAGATTCTCTATGTTATCCCATTAGGAAGATAAAACATTGTAGGCCCTTTTTTCCCTGTAATAGCTCAATGATCTGTTTTTTGAACTTTATGTGACATTTAAAACTACAAGACAAATTAAATATCAGCACATGTCTACAGTTCAGAATACTCCGGAGGTTTGGCTCAAGTAAGGAGAATGGAATCCTAAAACTCCCTCAACTACAAACCAAGGTCAACTAATTAATTATTTGACAATTCCTTCAGGACCTACTATAAGCTTAGGGGAAGAAGATATATGGAAAAGAATTAAGTGTTAACTTCCACATGACTAAGAATAAAAATAAAAACACACTTAAATGAAACTTTTCCCTGATTACACCTGGCAACATATGTAGACATATCAGCAATTATGTTAGGACGATCATTTTCACCTATGTTATCAATTTCTAGATTAAATTTTGTAAAGACAGAATTTATTTTGTTGGAGAGAGTGCCAGTAACACCCAGCCCCTAAATCCCTAAAACTTTATTAAGGAAAAAACACAGGAAAGATGAAAGAACTTTTTTTAAAAAAATCAATTAAAAGACCTACCAAAAAGAGAACAAAATTAGGTTTCGTTATAAAGATCACAGAAATGTTTCAATTAATTTTGTTGCTGTATGGATCCATTTTAAAGCAAAAAAAAATTGCTTGCTACAAAGCTCTACAATTAAATTAAAATTAAAATTGTTATTCATCAACACACAAATTCTAAACATTTGTGGAGGAATGTGCTTTTTTTTAAAAAAAATTGTATAACAAAGCAAATCATGTTGACCTTTAAAAAAAGGTCAACATAATTTGCTTTGTTATACATACACTTTAATAGTCTGCTTTTGAGAATATTTATAGTTTTATAAATTAATAAGGGCAGTGCTGCATCCTTTCCAAAAATGTACATTTTTGAAAATTATAGCATTTGTTTTGCTCTTTTATATAATCTAGATATAGTAAAACTAAACAAGTAATCAGTTTTTAATTAAAGTTGAAATTCTATCATAGTGGCTAGCAATGTGGGTTTTATAAATCTGGAAGTGTATTCATTAATTTGAGACTCTTGGAAAGTTTATCTCCAGAATTCAAAAGAAAGAAAAAACAGGATGCCAGTAAAATCATACCACAGGTGTCAATTTTTGTTAATTGAAGACTTTCTCCCATCCTATGGCCTTCAATGACTTCCTTACAACAAAAAGGATCCCAAGGGGGCGGAGAACAGGTGCGGATTTGACAATTTCAGTTTCTGAAAAACTTCTGCACCTGATGTTGTCATATGCTTTAATTAATAATTGTGTCTCATCAAGTCATTTCTGACTTATGGTGACCCTTTCCCCATGGTTTTTCAGGTAGAGAATACACAGAAGTGGTTTTACTATTCTCTCCTTCTGGGGCGCCCTGGGTTTGTTCAGCTTGCTCAAGGCCATACATGCTATCTCTTCGGAGATGCACGTTGGGCAATTCAACTGCCAACCTCTAGCTCCACAGCCAGATGCCACACTCACTGAATTGCTGGATAGCTCAGTGGCCTAGATCTCTCGCTGGCTTGGAATTCAATTCCTCACTGTGCCTCCTTTGGAGGGGCTGGACTCTATGATCCATAGAGTCCCTTCCAGCTCTGCAGTTCAAAGATGGTGGTGGTGATTGTGGTGGTGGTGGTTGTTTGTGGGGGTGCCATTCCCAAGGTTGCTAAGCCGCATGGGTGTTCTAGTGAGGGAAAACTCTCCTAGCATCCTGTGGCTGCTTCTGAGGGGAGGAGCTGCCACCATTCCTCCTCTTTCTCATTATCATAGAGAGCTTGCCATAGAGGCCTTTCCTTAGGCCAATCAGAGGGCTTGATTAATTGCCTTTTCCCAGACCAAACCTAATGTAACCATTGTCCTATCTGAACCCTGTTTACTATCTGTAATGCTGTCACTACCTGTGACCTTGTAATGTTAATAAAAGGACAGTTTCCTGGGGGCAGGGGAGAGAGAGACCAAGACAGACAGAGGAGTCAGAAGACTTCTCATTCTGCTTCCTTGCTGAGTCGCCCACCAGGAATACTGCTGGCAGACATCCATCTGTGTGTGTGGCTGACTTCTTTAATATATTGCTAAAAGACTCCTTAGTAGTAGTAGTAGTAGTAGTAGTAGTAGTAGTAGTAGTAGTAGTAGTAGTAGTAGTAGTAGTAGTAGTAGTAGTAGTAGTAGTAGTAGTAGTAGTAGTAGTAGTAGTAGTAGTAGTAGTTGTTGTTGCTGTTATTATTATTATTATCATCATCATAATCATCATCATCATCCAGCCATCATCAGCCCGTACAAGGTGCAAAACTGCAAAACAGAATTTCAGCCACAAAATCTTAAAGATGGCTTTTTTGGTTTTTCTTTGTTTTTGTGTACCCAGTCTAGTCCTGCTGTGAGTACAGTCTTCCAAGTGTGGAAGTGGGGTGAGGGTGTTTCATGGCAGAGATGGAGGAATATAGTAGATGCAGAGAGGAAATGTCCCATCTTTTAGTCTGCATTCACTCAAGAACCAATGGAGGTTTGGCAGGAGACTTGCCTATTTGAGGTCATCTCCTGTATTTAATTTCTTATCCATTATCCTTAACATTTTCTAAACCAGCCAATAAATTTCCTACACTAGGGGTTCAAAATGGCTTTGAGAGGGCATTCGTGAATGAGGACTGCACACTAACCTGAAGTATAATAGCAGCTTTATTCTTGCTCATGAAATGATGACTTTCTTTGTTGCCACTGGCAATTTTTTTTCTGTCCATGTAGCTGCGCCAAAAAGACTGGATAACAGTTGCTGCCAGATGTAGCCTTCTATAGTAATGGATTGCTTTATGAACCGTATAGCCACGCCAGTATGATTGGATAACTGTAGCTGCCAAGCTATAAATACCAGAAAAATAACATTTTGGACTTAGGAAGTGTGTCCTGTGCCATATGGATTCTCTTTCAAATTGTTGTAGGCATACATGTAATGAATAGGGACTATTTGCATTTTTTTTTAAAAAAATTGCATGAGTACCATTTACTGTGACACGGAATGCTAAAGAAACTTAATAAACCTCTGAAATATAGGCCAATATACTCTTACTCATTTAAGAGATAGGAATAAAATGAGGAAGAACATAAGTTGGAAATGGTATGTGAGCAAAAGATTAGCAAAGGGGGGAAATAGTGTAGCTATTGGCCCAATCTAGTCCTTTTTGCTGTGAGTACATTCTTCCAAATATGGAAAAATTACTAAGTCATGTGAGGGTGGTTGGTGGTAGAGCTGCAGGAGTGCAGCAGACACAACGTGGAAAATAAATTGACTACTCCCAGGGTATTTTGTTTAATATAATGTAATCAACACTTGTTTGGCAGTTTCCAAATAACTTGTGATAGTGAGATTAGACATTGATGTGAAATTAGATACAGTAAATGAAATTTTATTTATTAATTAGATAAAGGATGAAATCCTCTTCTGCAGCTCCACATGCACAATGTTGATGGCATCAACAACAGCAAATTGCTGCTGATTAAAAGTAATTTCAGGATGCATGTAACTCATACACAATGCAATGATATTGCATGCATTGTAAAAGGAACTTTAATCACCAGAGATTTGATATTGATGCTGTTGTCATCCCTGTTTTGAACATGGAGCTGTGCTATGGGATTTTAGTCATAGGCTACTACTGACTTGACCAGATGAGCACCTGCCAAACAGGAATAAGGGTGTCTTGTAAACATTGGTTTTTGGTGGGTGTAGCGAACAGCCCTGCCGTCACCTGTCCGTCACAGCTGAGCAGTGGAGGGTTTTTCAGTGAGTGAGAAAGTTCAGTGAGTGAGAAAGTTCAGTGAGTGAGAAGAGAATCTGTGAGTGAGAGAGATTCTGGTAGCGAGAGACTGTGTGAAACTTAAGAGTGAACTACGGGTGATTGAGAAATCTGTGAGAACGCTGAATGGTACAGAGAGTGGATAGAGCTTTAAAGTTAAAGTAGTACTGATTCAGTTTCAAGTGATTAGCAACCTGTGATTTACCTACTGTATATTAATCAGATGTTACCCTCCCTGATCAAATAAATAAGTGAAGTTTCAAAAGTACACATGTCTCCTTGAGTGAATGGTATTGAGACAGCAATACTTGGTGGCAGCGAAGAAGGAAGAAGAGCGAGAACCTAGTGAAGGCCTGGGGGAATAGGGGCTTCAGAGGAGACCACCACAGTGGGGGGTTTGGGGCATTATGTCTGATTTTGACCATGAAACTCCACACTACTGTAATATAATTTCCAATACACAAAACAAAGGATTGGATCCACAATATTAATCCTGTATATAGTACTAACTTATAACTAACAAGTTCTGTTCATGGCAATGAGTTTATTCTGAGTAGGAAAAATCTGAATTAGTCATATATAACACACTGGCTGGAATCCTGCTGGTAGAGCTACATGAGTGACTGTATCATCAGCTGGCAATGTTTAATTTAATGTCATTTAATTTAAAATTTCCTAGATCCACCCCAAAGCGCGCGCGCACACACACACACACACACGCACGCACGCGCGCACACACACACACACACACACACACGCATGCACGCACGCACGCACACACACACACACACACACACAGAGAGAGAGAGAGAGAGAGAGAGAGAGAGAGTTTCTGAGACTCCCTGGAGATCCCTAGAGATCTCTTTTAAAGAGAAACCTTTAGGGCTTCAGCATGGGAGAAGAGGAATGCTTAATATCTGACAATTGCTGCTGCCGCCCCAGTACCATAAGTGGGGCAACTGGTGGTAATTTATGGATATTAAAAGCTTAACCTGTGACTCCTAAAGGCTTCCTCAAGTTGCAAGGAATTTCTAGAGAGCCTTGGAACCCGAGGAGGGGGAATAAGAAATTTTACATTACATTAAATTAAAGAGTAACATTGCTAGATGATAGCATCATTGCCAAGTATGCCAACAAGGTTACTCAGCAGAATTTCAAATAATTTTTTCCATGCCCAGAAGACCAAAGTATGCATACAGGACATATGACAAGAGATGGAATTCTGCATAATACATCTAAATACTGTGTCATGTGTAGAGTTCATGGTTTCCACAATATAAGGTAAAAGAAGAGCTGAATTACTGTTTTTTTTTTGCGAACCTATTGCATCCAGAATAGAAACTGTGTAAAATAAGATGGCAAAGAGAAGCACAATGTCTTCTCTGTGTCTAAATACACTTTGCCAACCACCTTTATTCCAAAAACTTTTGTATTAGAAGAGGGATACTGCTTGACCACAGAATTCACCATAATAGCACAAGGCCTTACCAGAAAAGCAACAAAGAAGGCAGTCACAGAGACAAGTAAAGCCCTTCAGGCTGATGAGAAGAAGAATGACTAATAGCAGGATATTACAGTACTCTTACTATATGATTTAAAGCCTCCTTTAAAAATTACTCTTTTTCAAAAACTTGTCTAGATTCATAGCATCTGCACAAGCTTACCATACATAATTCGCCTATGAAACTAATTCATACTTCATTATAACCTAGGAATATATGTATTTCTGTGAAAAGTGCTATGGACAACATTTAGCATTATAACCTAGGAATATATGTACAGTACTTCTGTGAAAAGTGCTATGGACAACATTTAATACACAAACACAAATAGACATAGTACAATCTGAAAAACAATCTATACATGTTTGCACTTTTCTCATTCTAGTGGTGCAGGTTAAATCAATTCTTGAAAATATTTAAGAACAAAAGACTCAGTTTCACTGCTTCAACTGCAAAGAACTGTACATGTCTATTGGTTTCAAACTCACAACATTAGGTTTAACAGGACTTGCTCCTTTGTTCTGTAGGATAAACCAGGGCCCAACTGAATGATTCCAAAACTATTTCCATCACCAGAATTAGAAGGACAGCAACCTCATTTCGCAGAAACATCAAAATCTGGACTCTGAGAAAGCCAGTGGAATCATATTTATGTGGAGGGCCGTCAGGTTGGGAAGGTGATGAAGATGTGCTTTCACTAATAGACATATGCTAGAGTGACATCATTTTTAGGTCATTGCAAACCAGCAATGATTTGCTCAGAAATACATATGTTAGTATCCTGTTCAAATGACCAAACAGGCAAAATACCAAACAGGAAGTGGCTGCCATGATTTGGAGAGGCCTGGGCATAAGACAGGACTACTCCATATTGCAGCAGCTGCTTCTATTATTGTGCTTCCAGCACAGTAATTTAAATGGGGCATTGTCGTTATTCTGTCATGTTCACTGCGAAACCTCCTCTTCTGCAGACCTCATAAGTTTTGCCATTTGCCTGAAGCATGAGGCCTTGTGTAGACTGACCAATTATTCCTCTGCACCTCACTGTGTAGATTTCCAAGCTGCAGACGTGGTAACCCTCCATTCATCATGTGGATGGAAGCACAAGAAAGGAGATGCTCTATGTGACTGTAGTTATGAAGTGTGATATTTTAATCAGTCACAAGCCTACTTTAAGTTTCAGTTCTTTTGAAAATATTGTCCAACATGACCCCTTTCAGATATGGTTGAAAAGCATTTAACTAACATGTGACAACTATCAACAATTTAACATTTGTCAGGGGTCAGATTAGAACATAATAGGAGAAATTCTGCTGCTTAGCACAGTAAGTTACACTAGAGTAGACCCACTGAATTAGTGGGGTTTTGGTGAGTGAACTCCATAAGTTCTGTTGATTCAAATGGGTCAACATTAACTGAAATGAAGTAAGCAGCATTATTTTAGCCATGATGTCCTGAGTATGTATGGTTTTGGTTTTGTTATACAGTGGTGCCTCGCACAACGATTGCTTCATACAACGATGAATTCACACAGCGATCGGTTTTGTTGAGGAATTTCCCCCATCGTTTAACGATGTTCTCTATGGGGGAATTTCACTTAACGATGTCCCTTTTTGCTCATTTAAAAGTGTCTTAAAATGTTTGAAACCTGTTTTAAATGCTTGGATTCCATAGTGCACCTTGTGAAACATGTGCAAACTTAATTTGGTTTTGTGCTGAGTCTTCATTAATATTTAGTGATTTTTTTATTTTCCCCATTTAAATCAATTGAATGGACAGTTCAGTGCATTTAAATAGGGAAAACAAAAAATCACCAAAAATTAATGAAGACTCAGAACAACACCAAATTAAGTTTGCATAGGGTTCAGGAGGTGGGCTAACGATTGCAAGCATTTAAAACCTGTTCCAAACATTGTGAGGCACTTTTAAATGAGCAAAAACGGACTTCGCAAAGCCATTGAAATGTATTGAGTCGGCTTCAATACATTCCAATGGAGGAAACATTGTTTCACTCAATGATGTTTCCTATGGGTTTTTACACTTAAAGACGGCAATCTGTTCCAATTGGAATGGATTAACCGGTTTTCAATGCATTCCTATGGGAAATGGTGTTTCACAGAACAATGTTTCACACAACGTTGATTTTTTTGGAACCAATTAACATCGTTGTGTGAGGCACCACTGTACTTGTCCAATTTCACCTACAATTTCTTTCTGTTTTTGTTTTCGATTAGGGTCTCAGACTTTAATGTGTTTTTTTCACATTGAAATCTGTCCCTACTTTTTTACATATCTGTATATGTACATATATGTGCATGTACATATTATATATTTTGTTTAATGTATGATATTTTCCCAAAACTAAAGCATGTTTACATTTACTTTTTCAGTTGAATGCATTTTAGCCATGTGTGTTTTATAACACACATACTTTTTTGCCTATTTTATTTCACTGTAACACCCTGTAAGCCAAAGGCAGAAAAATCCTTTTCCATTGCTAGCTGTAACATACTGAACCTTGCAACAGCTTTGTGTGGTACCTTTTAGATGGGGAGCAGGAATTATGAATAGCTATTTCCATGCAGAAAGAAAGATGCTGAAAAAAGGCCACAGTGTACACTGATCATAATGAATCTGAAACAGCCCTTCTAAATATTTACTTAGTAGTGAAGCAAATTGAATGTTATTACCCATTAATCATGAATAAAGGGGAAATGTATACATAAATCTTAATTGCAATCTCTGACTACAGGATAACAATATTTCCTGAGGGATCATGATCATCTAATAGGTGGCATCAGTGATGGTCAGAGTAGACTCTGATCATAATGAATCTGAAACAGCCCTTCTAAATATTTACTTAGTAGTGAAGCAAATTGAATGTTATTACCCATTAATCATGAATAAAGGGGAAATGTATACATAAATCTTAATTGCAATCTCTGACTACAGGATAACAATATTTCCTGAGGGATCATGATCATCTAATAGGTGGCATCAGTGATGGTCAGAGTAGACTATGTCTAGATGGGCTGGGCGGTCTCCATTAAGATTATATAATGATACGATTATGGTTCTATAATAAAGTAGATTGACCTTTGAATCTTACTTTTTGTCAAAATGTTGAAAGTAATTTCCTCTGTTACTTGCTGCAACTTGCTCACTGAATTCATTTTCCTTAAGACTGAATAATGCATTGTTCTCTTTGTTTTTTTTAGTGTGATCAAGGATGCATTGAATCATTTTCTTCTTTTGCTGGCATTCTTGCATCTTTCTCATTGTAGGCACTGTCATGAAGGAGTTAACAGACATAGACTGAGCATTGCCAGAAGTAATCCATCTTTCAGGAGTACTCAGTAAGTCCTGCATATTTTCTTTTACACCAGTAATAAAGGAATTGTTTTTCTCTGTAGTGTTAATGACTTCTTGGTTCAAATGATTTGTCTGTTTTTCTACTTCCTCTCCTTTAGTTGTATTTAGTACTCCATACTCATGTGCATAGCGGTGTTCACTACTAAGTGTCATCAGCTTCTTAAAATACCAGCACTGGCGCTGAACATCATCTTCTGAGAATCCATTGCTGGGGAAAATAAGAGGAAAAGCATCTGTCAGTTCTAGAGTAATGAGTCACTGTTCTATAAATAATAATACAAGGAGAAAAGATAATAGTGTGTTCAGAAAAAAAAACACATTAAATATAACACACAAACCACACTTCCATCATTCAGTCTCTGTGTGCACTGCACAAACATACACACATTACTGAATCAGCACCTACAGAGTAAAGCCATATGCAAAACTACCTCTTTTGGGCACAATTATATTTTAGCTACACTGTAATAGACTGTGTCCCGGAGCAGACTGTTATACTTGATTATGCAAGTCACAGAAACTACAGATGCAGTCAAGTCATACTAACCAACTGGACACAGAGAAACTAGAATGTTTATCTGATTTGGCAGGTAGATGCAATTTTCCTTTGTTTAGAGATCATAATTACAAGTAAACCTGAGAAGTTTCACAAATCTAACCAGAGAAGCTTCACAGATCTTGACTCTCCAACAGAAATATATTAAACTTTATAATACATAACACAGTCTCAGTCTATAACAGTACTAGAAACCATGTATTTGGATTTTGAAATTATGGATTTTGAATGTGTGCAATCATTAGATTTATCCAAAATAACTAGAATATTGGGTCTTTCATTTTTTAAATATAGTCTTATTTGATTTGTTTTACAATTCCAAACATAAAATGTTGTGTCCTGTAATTTTTGTTTGTCCCATTTCCCCTATCTGCACACCATTTTTGTTATATTTATTTCCTTTTTTTAACTTTTGCCAGTTTTGAAGGATCATCCACTGTGGTTTGCAAATAAGAAACAGAAATATTTCAAACATAACAATAAACAGTGCAATAAAGTCATATAAACAAAGTACATAAAAATAGCAAGGATTGAATCTCAACTTAATAATATTTTGAATTTGTTCACTGAAATCTATACGATATAATTGATGTGGCTACATTAAATTCCACTGATTTTTACTGACATAATCTACGGTTACAAAAGGAGACTTAGGAAAGTATGAAAGTAAGTTATACTGAGTCAATCATTTGGTTCATTTAGGCCACTACTGTAAACTCTGACTGGAAGTGGCAATAACAGGTTTCAGGTAGCATTCTTCCCCAGCCTTTCCTGGAGATCCCTGGCATTTCCTACTGGTCTCCCATCTAAATACTAACCAGATCCAAACCTTCTTGGCATAAAAAAAATCAGATGGGATCTACTATGTTCAGGGTAGCACAATGCACCTTTAGACGAGCCTTCCCTTTCTCTCCTTGCCCCCTGAATTTGTCTCCTCCAGTGGGTCTGACTACAAGTATGAATATATGTTGATCCAAAATGTAACATATAATGTAATATATATCAGCAAAATAAAAGCAGCATTTCAGTAATCTTCCTTGCTAAGCCCACTTTCTAATGACTGTATGAAAGGGGAAAAGATTAGACCAATCAGGTCTCTCTCAAAAGGGAGTTTCATAAATGGGATACCTCTGACACCTAGCTATTCCATTTGTGAAGGAAAGGGTAATACAATACTTTTGGTGTACGTAGCGTTTTACACAATTTAAAAGGAAATAATAGTAATAAAATTAATAAAAATGCCAACAGCTAACAAGCACTAGCTTGAGCTATCCCAATTCAGTATTCGATCAAAATGGAGACTGAGCCAAGAAATCAGAAAAAGAATGAGACTTGGAAAGGCATAAGGTCAAAGTCATGCACACTACAATATTTCAATTACTATGTACAGACAGATGGGAAAAACAGACAGTGAAGAAGGCTAACAGGGAAAAAATGACTTAACTGAGTGGATGAGAGCTTTACAGATACCATGGAATGCCAGAGGGACAAATAAATGGGTTCCAGATAAAACAAGCCTGAAGCTTGATTTTAGAAGCTAAAATGATTGCTGTACAGGCATGAGTGATTGGTGGAACCAATTCCAAGCACACCAGTTCACTACTTAATAAGCAAGCCACTTAATAAGCAAGTACATACTTTTTTTTAAACCTCACTTTTAAAGGCTATGGAAAATTGGTCAAGAAACTGCTGGCAGCCAAGCTACCAAAGTGGATTCAACTGTGAGCAGTTTCTTGACCAGCCTTTTAAAAGTGAGGTAAAAAAGTATATCCATCCATCCATCCATCTTTTTTTACCTCACTTTTAAAGGGATGGTCAAGAAACCGCTTACAGTTGAATCCACTGTGGTAGCTTGGCTGCAAGCAGTTTCTTGATCAGTCTTTTAAGAGAAGACAAAGAAATGATTTTTTTAAATAATTGATGCAGCACATCAGCAATAGTCTATATATAATTTTTAAAAATGTTGTGTCCCCTGCCCTCTGTGGAACAGGGGAGGTTAATTTACAAATATCCTGAAGTAGCTCACTTATTAATTCATGATATTGGCAGGAGACATTTCTATATGAATGGCCAAGCTTGATTAGCTCTTTCTAATCAAACCCGACAGTTCCCAAGTGGCCAACACTAGCTCATTTCCTGCTGTTAGTGTAGCCATACTCTGATATATTTATGGAGTGCTTTTACCAGTTCCAGGCGCTCAGTGGATTTCCATGGCTGAGTGTGGATTTGAACCCAGGCCTCCTGACTCCATTAATCTATCCAGTACACCCCACTAGGTATACTCCTTCATCCATCTAGCAGAAAAGAATTGCCATAATTTGTAAGTCATGGCTTTTCACTTTATGTGGAATATTGGAATCAAGCTGTAAGACTTATTACTGTATTTCAAAGAATGCTGAGAAAAAATTATTAAAACTTTAAAACCTAGCATGACAAGAAAACACTCATGAAGTTACAGCTGCATTAAGTGACACACTTTCAACTGGAAAAATCGAAAACATGACAAGATGGACCCCAGGAAGCAAATTTCATTAATTAGTTTTCCTTTTTGGGAACTATGTCTGCTGTCATCTCAGGTGCTTTTTCCACTGGATAAGGCATTGTAACAGAAGTGAGCAGTACAATAATAGTTTGTTATGCAGTGCAAATGTGTCATTTGACACATTTTCTAAAGTTATAAGATTTTATAAAAATATATATATTTTTCTAATGTTTCAAACTGCGTCTTGGGGGCTGAAAGAACTTTCAGGCAATTTTGCCATACAAAATATTAATATTTTTGAGAGAAATATGTGCATCTCTGTTCAGGAAATTCTGGGATATCGTTGCACTCCAGCACCTACTCTCAATATGGAAATACTTCAATAGTATATTTCTTGTGAATATATAAAGAAATAAGATTTTTTTTCAAGGGAATGGGATAATTTTAAATAAATTATTACTTGTGGTTAATAGCAAAGGTTGAGTTAAATACATTTTACTATATTACTTTTTTCACTCCTAGAATAACAAGTGATAATTTGAATAAACTGAATGTTTCAAGGAAGACTCTTTTAGATATTTTTTCTCTTTTGTGAAAAGATAATAAATATTATACAAAGAAAGATAAAAGGTGTGACAAACAAATTTTATAGAAGTAGTTCTAATTTTATATAAATTGATATATGCCTTTATATCATTTGTTGCTTCATTCTTGTTTGCAAAAAACCCTTAAACTCCATAAAGGGTTTGAATGTTTATATTTCTTCAGTTATATTTCCTTTTATAAGCTTTTACGCCATTTTCATCTGTTTAAACTATGACCGTTTAAAAGGATTTCAAGTCCCATTAGTGTATTTTATTTCCAGGCATCTGTACAAAAGCTTGTTGAAAGCCAAAACACTGAAACGGAAGTGCATTTTAGCACAGCTACTTACAGCTAAGTGTCAAAAGATTAACTGACAGACATTTATTAGAATGGAGTAATTAATTTTTTTTAAGCACTTAATTCTTAAACATGGGTACATACAGCGGATTTAAAATCAAGAACAACATGAGAACAATTTAATTGAGCAGCTCTGGAGTATGAAACATGGATTAAGAAACCTTGCAATGATTACCTCTGGCAGTTTACATTTGAGGTCATACCTACAGGGTCTTATAATTTAGTGAGATGTCAAACAGACAAGAAGCTGACTTGGTTTTATGCTGTTCTTAAGGCTGCAATCACATATGCACTCGGTCTCCAAGCTAAGCCCACTTTACACTGGGGGAGGGACTCAATTTGAATAAATATCTGCAGGATCATTTTGTGTACTCCAACACTTAATTTACATAGATAGAGAGATAGGCATATACAGATAGGGTCTGGGTGTTTCTTATATGAGTACATTTTTCCTAATGTAAAAATGTATGCCACATACGAATGCAACTAGAAAGGCCATAGTTAATTGCCAGAGCATATAATTTGTAGGTGTAGCGAGCGCACTGAAGCCTCTATTATCTCAGGCCTCCAGGAGGTGCTCACTCTTCCACTCAGTTGCTGCCACCAATATTTCTGTTTCAATACTAATTATTCAGTGAGACATGTGTTGCTTTAAAACTTAAACTTGTTTATTTGATCAGTTATATATAATAAGTAAATCACAAGTTGATAATCAATTTCTCTCACTCACTGAACTCACTGACACACAGAACCCTACTCTCACTGTATTTCCAGCTCACAGGCCTACAGACTCACCAATCTCTCCCCATACTTCATACACACACCTTTATATCCCAGCCCCTCCCCCTTTAGCACCACCTTCCGTTCCCTCATTGGCTGCTTTTCCACTGCCCAGCTGTGACGGACAGATGAGGGCAGGACTGAACGCTACATACCTCCCCCCTTAACAAGTTGTTTCATGGGGGGAAAGCTATAGTGCTCTACCCTCATGAACAAGGAGCTTTACAATATTACATCATCCCAACAATACACTCAAACTTACCACAACATTTACATAAACAATAATTCAACATCTTACCTGCATGTTCTACATTAACTTTGCAATCCAGTTACTAGTTCCATTACATACCTTAACACTTCAATTTATACAGGTGCATACTTAATAACTTACCATTACACTTAAAAATACTTACATATATTTTTCTTTTGAATACACAGCCTATAACATTCAACAATGTGTACATGAACATTTTATTGCTTTTGCTACAGTAGGTAAGGCGGGATACTACTGATGAGCTGTCAGTCAGTAATATCAGCAACATTATCAAACTAAATGAACAAACTGCGTCCTAACTTTTAAGGAAGCTTTTCTATGTTCTTTGCCAATGAGTTCTAAATCCCCAATCCGATCTTGCAAGCACCAGTGTAATGGAATGCTCTTCCCTCCCCACTGCAGCTCTCAAAGCTGTCTGAAAATCAGTGCTGGGTGTTTCTTAAAGATTACAAGGGGGCTACAAGGTGGTAAATCTGTAGCAGATCTGGGGACAGTTTGAATTTGGCTGTTGACATGGGCTACCTCCAGTCCCCAATATAGTAACAAGATAGCAACCAGAAGTAGATTTTGCCCCTCTTCTGTTTAGTGATGTCTTCATGCTAAAATCATATGTGTTGTCTTATAGGACACCTGTGTTGCCCAGAGGTTTTGGAAACAAGGGTGCTTTCTAAAAATGTGAAAACGTAGCCATATTCTGCTGCCGAGTTGCCTCACTACTGTGTTTAGGTGGCACACCACTGGAATTGATAAAAGAGGAGCCAAGGGGACTTTACGTTCTTCATCCATGCACAAAACTGTGTGTTGCCTACTACTGTCCACAATAAGAAAAACACTCGTGTAGGAAAGTAGCAACATTTCAAAAATGGTTGAAGTCTTTTGAATTGTATTTCAAGTAATTATTACGGTGCTTCTTGTGAATATGGACAACACTTTGCTCCAGTTCTGATGTTTATGTACACATGCCTGCTACATGAGATCACATGGATTAGCTTACCACTTGACAACAAGAGATAATTTTGTTCTTCTCCCCTAGTCACCATGCACATGCTTATCTGCTCTGGAGTGCCCTCCAGCCCTCTAGAGCACATTAGGAGACTCATGGAGAGTTGTAGGAGAAAGAGCAATCAATTTCATCTGCCCTTTCTTTTCCACTGGTGGTGGATATACAGGAATGAATGCGGTCCACAAACATTTCACATAGAGAGGGAGTCATTTACTTAAACTGATAAAGTTAATTTTATTAAAGCATTTCCATAGACACACATATAAACAATACTAGGTAATATCCTTGCATTGGAGCATAAGTATATATTATGATATTTCACTAGAGACACACTGCAATCTATTTCTTTCAAGGCCCATTAATTTCAATGAACCAGGAGGAAAGAAAGGAGAAACTGATGAAGAGAGAAAAGGAGTAGGGGAAATAAAAATGAAACCAGATTACACATGTTTGGATTCCTTCATTGTTGAAACAAAAGCCAGCTTTCTTTCATGAACTCTTGAGGAAGTGCTACTTCTGTGTAAGTAGGTATTTAAATTTCATGATTTTTTGAGGTGTTACAACACCTAAATTAATGATGTCTAATAAAAACTAAAGTCGCCATTTCAGCATTTTTTTTCACCAATACACACCACATTGTTACATATTTTCTATATGTTGGGTCTGTCAACTATCAAAATGGAGACTACTGTAATGAAATCAGTAGCAGACTGCGAGTTAAAAAGGCAACTAGCTATTCAGGAGCTAGAAAAAAAATCCTGATGTGCAAAGGTACATTGTAGGAGACCATGGCAAAGGCCATCCACACTATGCAATTAAATAAGAATCCAGTAACTAATCATTCTAATTCTTGGCCTTTTCTCCCCTCCCAGTTAACCCTGGGTTACATAAGAGTGGTATATACAGGAAGAAGACAGGGGAATGGGGAGCAACACTTGGGTCTAAGTGCTAGGTGGACCTATTGATTCTACGCTGAGCTAGCCTGTTTTCTGCCTTTTCTGCTTACGGTAAGTCTACACACTTGGGATGTGCAGGTTTGAACTCTTGCAGCAGCAATACTACTGACTGAGTTAAACATTTCCAGCAGTACATTTTTATGCCTTCTGAACTTCTTCACTGTGGGTTAAAGGCCCAGATTCTTTGCCATAGTTACTCCTTTGATACCATAGTATTCTCACTTTCTTTGTTTGGATGTGAAAGCTACATAAGAAATAAAAGTGAAAATCAAAACCAGATTGATTTAAATTATGTTATTGGAGAAGAGTTTTATAGATACTATGGGTTGCCAGAAAGATATGCTGTACAAGTGGGTTTCAGATTAATCAAATCTTAACTATATTTAGAGACCCTAATGACTGAACTGAAGATGCTGTACTGTGGATGTATCGTAAGAAGACAAGACTCACTGGACAATATAATGCTAGAAAGTAAATGAAGTAAATGAAGAAGACTTAACATGAGACAGATTTCATTAAAAGAGATGATGGCATAAAGTTTGCAAAACTTTAACAGAGCTGTTAATGGAAGTCATTAATTCATAGGATATTGATTAGGAGAGAAACAACCTGTTGCCACCTATTACAACAAAATATGCAGTGTGTGAATAGAGGAAAGTAGATAAAATTCAAAGAAATAATTAATTCTTTAAAAAGTATTGAAGATGCTTACATTAATCTCATTGTTGCTTTGTTACTGATTAAATCAATTTCTTGAATCTGTGTCTGACAAAATGATGCAAAACTTCCTAGGGCTATTCTTTTTACAGTTTCTTCACTTGGGATTTCTGCATCAGAAATTACATTTTCATCATTAAGTATTTTCAAACTTGGCAGACTTTTCAGTAAGGTACACCTTTAAAAATGGGAGAAAGACAGAGAGACAGAAAGATTTAGTGTTAGAATAATTACACTTTACTATAAATTCTGGAGATTCTTTGGAATTTTATGCAGATAACTCAAAAGACCCAATCCATACGTGTAGATGCTTTCCCGCCTACTTTTTGCTATGGAAAGCAAAAACCCATAGTATTAAAGTGTGTTGTGATGCTTTGAAGCCAAATCCATGCACTTTATTTGATTTCTAGATCATCTGGAACAACGTGGGAGCTTGTGCTCAGGCTACAGGAGGAGGGAGAATGGTGAATATTGTCTTCCTTTCCTCCCATCAACTAGACTGTTGTGCTGGAACTACAGAAAAGAAACCTAGGATCCTTTTTAAATGGAAGATTTATATATGTGCATGTTGGGATGGGGAGGGAATTCCTCCTAAAAACTGATCCTATTTATCTGTAAATAACAATGCTATACCTTTATGCCAAGTTCAACAGATAGCGGTAATTTCATCACATTTAGAAACACTGACCAAAAAAAATAAACATTTTCAGCCTGTACTGATTTCAGTTGAAGGGTTAAGTGTACAGTTAGCTCCTTTCCAACATAAAACAATGGGCTCTTGTTGGGAAAATAAAGCTTCCTATGCTGACTCTTCTTTGCTGTAAATATCTAGCACTATAAATTTTAATTTATCTTAGAGCAACAGCAGCAACAAAAACAAAACCCTCATTTTTGTGGTTCATAACAAATGCAGAAGTATTAGATACTAAGCCAATAGTCCTGAACATGTGATGCTATTATAGACACAGCTGAAAAATGGTATATTGCAAAAGTGCCATATCAAGTTGATTAATGGTTGAAACGATGGTTTCTTAGAGCTTTGGGATCTTAACACTAGTTTTTCCAGCTGGGGTTCTCCTGGTGATGGCTAAGTCAATATTTCATTTAGTGAAAACTTCCTGGTGAATACTCTGTCACTTAAGCGGTTCTATTAATCATTACTGCAATGAAACACATCCCCCCTAGGAGTGCTCAAACTGATTCAAGGGTTTAATTTCTAAAAAGTTATTTCTTAGTACTTCAGCTTCTTCAGTGTTATCACTGGCTGGACATGAAAGTAAGAAACCAATTGGGAAATTTTACAACTAATTCCTTTGTTGGTATCAAGGGGTTATGTAAAGTTCATTGAAACATATTGCCTGACATTAGAGTCAATGCTGAATTCAACAAATCCATACTTTATAGCATCCCATTAGATAAATTAATCTCTTCCCAAATCATGAAAGCTCACTTGGTCAAAGCATGTAGGACACTGGTGACTCTGGAATGTTAAAGATATATTTTAAACTAAGTTTACATGGAGCAGTAATTAATTATAAACACATCAATAATTAATAAATAATTAATTAGTTACAAGTAATAGGAGTGCTATTTAAAGTATTTTTTCTTCTATATTCAAAATGCAAGCTGTCTTCATCATGTAAGAAAAGAAACATATACACCAACAACTATGAGATTCCAGTCAATCCCACTTTTTAAAGAGCAGATGCTTTCCATTGCACTAAAATATGGACTGGCAGTAAAACAAAAGTCTGCTCAGCTGATACTTCTCTTCTGAAACGCATACTCCATCTCTCTGCTATCTCCTTCCTTAGTGCATGCAGAAAGCTGAAACTGTATAAGATACTATATTTATCTCTGATCCTTTGTTCTATTCATGGAAACTAAAATGAAGCAGAATTACTAAAAATGTCCTAAATCCAACAGACAGTCCCAGTTTGAACAGTCCCATTGAATCGACTGCTGAATGGCAAGCCAACACTTGGATAAATCCTACTTAATTCTACTGATTCAGTTGTTTTCTATTTGGGAGTACGGGCCCGTCCACACTGAAGTTTGATGTTGTCAGTGCTTAAAAGGTCTTTATCATCAGTGCAATCCAGTACGGGCCCGTCCACACTGAAATTTGATGTTGTCAGTGCTTAAAAAGTCTTTATCATCAGCGCAATCTATTTTAACTCTTGGTACCCATCTGTGAAAGAACAAAGAGCTATTTTGAATCTCAATGAATCATCCCAAAAAGACTGCATGCCCTACTCCTGTGCCAGAAAGATACAGGCAGTTCTTGAAGGGGAAGGATGGGTCATTTTACGTAGAAACACAAGCAGATGAGGACTTTTTTTCCTTGCCAAATAGAGTTATCAGGGAACCATATATCATAACTATATCCCGGTGTGGACAGGTTTTAGGTGCTATACTTAAGTGATTATGATACAATCAGCATTAAGAACCAGAGCAGATATCACCTGACAACCAGTGTTCCAATTAGATGCAAACATGCAAGTATCCAATAGGATTTTGCATGTTTTACAATGTTTATGTTTCTTCCACAGATTTTCAGTCCTCCATCTGAATTTAATCCAGCTTTCTTCATCTTTCTTCCACAGATTTTCAGTCCATCTGAATTTAATCCAGCTTTCTTCATGAAATGAACCACACATAGACTGAACAAATAGGGAAATGCAGAAAATATATCCTTGTCTGTCACCTATGCCAAAAGGAAACCCTTCTCTCTCTCTCTACATCTTTATCTCAATAGTAACCTCTTGTTCAGATTATAGGTTATACATCAGGCCAATCAAAGGCTGTGGCACATCCATTTCTTTCAGAATGATTCACAGCTTTTCATGATTGACACTGTCAAAGGTTTTAAATCTCTAAAGTACAAACTTATTTTCTTCCAAAATCTTTTGGTAATCCTCCAGTAGCCAACACACATTTGCAGTATGGTTGCTAGTATCTCTTCTGAATCCATGGAACACTGGGTGCTTCTCACTCCATATATGAAGGTCCTTGTTGCAAAATCTTGAACATCACTTGCTTGCATGGGAAATTCATACAACATGTCTGCGATTGCTACAATGTTTTTCATCTTCTTTCTTAGGGATTGCTGTATATTGAAGGTTTGCTATCCATGGGCCACTGCTTTCCATATGGGAAATTTTAGCAGAAGTGTCCCTGAGTGGATTGGTAACAGATTCAGAATATCAGGAGATTTGATTATCAGGGGTCAACAAGGAGTGATTGTTCATTGGAGGCTACGTAGGCACATGATCTCTCTGTGACTCCATGTCACCAGGGGGCAAGACTCAGCCTCTGACTTCTGCCTCAACCCCTTTAAAGGGATTCCTCAAACTCCATGGCAGGTCAGATCCATACCTGCCACCTTCATCCAACCAAACCAATGCTGTCGACCACACTCTGTAAAGTTGTGCCAAGAACTTTACAGTAGGAAAATTCTACTGTGGCAGACTACAGTAAACTGTATACATGCACACTCAGAATGATGATATACAAGATGGGTGGGTGGGGGAGGGAGAGTTGACTGATAGAAAGCTGCCTGCAGTCAGCAAACTCTTTGTTTAAATGCTAAGCAGGAAGTCAAAGTGGAAGTCTGTTTCCCCTTGGTCTGCCTGCCTAGACTCTGCATCCTCCCTCAGCCAACAAAGGACTGTCAGGAAAGCACCTAGCCAGTGCATTTCCCAGCATCCACAGCACCAGGCTGGGATATATGTGCATGTTGCAGCTGACCATTGAACTGCTAGGGCTACCACTTTGGCCACAACAGTGGGAGTTCCAAGTAGGTCTTGATTCCATATTTCTACAAATAAAGAGCAGACAAACAAGTTCATGTTTTGAAAATATCCGTTTAAATCAATGAAAACAGAAAGGTGAGGTTTATGGTGATATCCATGATTGAAAAAAGAGTAGGGGGTCAACAATGGTCACGGGAGGAGAGGGCAAAAGGCTAAGAAAGGATTGGGGGGAAAGCTGTCGTCTTTTTGCTAAATCCATGGTGACAAAAAAAAATGCATATAGGAAGGAAAATGGAAATTGTCAAAGAGGCAATGTAGAAAAGCAGAAATCTAAAATAAGTTACATTTATATATTTGCTTTCAGGAATAGGATTAATCAAGTAAACTATTAATTGAAAAGACAACGGGGATATATTTCTGAGATTAAAGACACTATTGGAAGATGAAATGATATTCTCTTCAATGATACTGAAGAAAATGAGATTAAGGGAATAATTTGGAAAATACTATTGCACTCTTGCCTGAATAAGGATATATTCCTTCCTTAACATATATTAGTGACAAGAAGTCAGGAAATATTTTCTAGAGAATGTAGATTTCCTTATTTTCAAAGAATCCACCTGCCTCTCTTTTTCTGTCCTTGAAACAAAACTTTTAAAAAACTGACTCTTTTGGTGATGATTTGAAAATCTTTTTATAATTCATTACTGCACACACTGTGAGAAAAATTCAGAGACACCTATTTGCCTGGGATTGCATCAGCCTTAATAATTCTGAATTTCTTTATACAACCACTAACACAGTTTGCATAAATATTAATTTTCACCTGTTCTCTATAGGGTTTTCAGTTATTTTCACTAAATCAGTATTGCCGAGCTGCCTAGCATATAGAGATCTGGATATAGACTACGTTAGGGCTCAATTACACTACTGAAATGAATCAGAGAAGGGCTGAAGTTGGTTTAAAGTTGTATGATTTTTGTGGCAACTTTTGTTTTGTATATTGGTTGTGGTTTTAAAATTGTTGCATTTAGAACTAAATTGGCACCACAGGGCTCCAGCTTCTGCTTTTTCTGGATCCTTTGTATTTAATTTTTAAAAGAGGAGGAGAGAGCACTTCAACTGCTTCCCCTCCATTCCAGATTCAAGAACAAAGCCATGGGAGAGAAATAGTTTAAATGCACACGTGGAGAGGGAACTTGTAAGAAGCCATACAGAGATGCATGCTAGCTTGCTCACTCTCTGCCAAAGGAGGCTGAAATGGATGCTTTGACAGATGAAGGGAAATAGCTTGTCTCCCTGGGTCTGGTGGGGGAGGGGGAGGAAGTAGCAGAGTCACTACTATCAGTGTTGCTGCCTTTCTTTTCTTTACTCTTCTCACTTTGGGAATATAGGTTTTGCCTTGAGCAAAATGCAGCCAAATCCACAATCACCCCTCTTTTCTTCTCCCACCTTCCTCAGCTGGAAGCCAGCTGCCCCAGTCACCCTACTTCTCTGCAGGAAGAGAAAGAACAGGCAGGCTTGAAGGGGTTGAAGTGATTTTTCCAGGTCCCTCATCATGTTTTAATATTTGTTTTATTCAATCTTTTGTTCAAAGTGGAATAGTGCTAGATCAGAAAAAATTACAGATAGAAAAAAAATTAAAAATAGAATTGCAAGAGTACATTACAGCTTGAAACTCAAAGTCCTAGCATCCAATACTTGACAAACTCCACATACACAATTTACACACGTGTTTACACATGTCAAAAGATTAAAAATAAATCAGGTTCAGAACTGCGTTAAAACAAACAACCCACTCGTAGCTATTTAAAATATCTCACTTTCTGACCACAAAAATGTGACCTTAGCTGCATGTTGTGTAGGTGGGAATTTTAAAATCCATTTCAAGAATTCTAAACCTGTGCAAATCAAGAGTATTATGACATGTAACCGAGTCCTTAGATTCTACTGAGAACAAAGGGATATGTTTGATTTCAGTGCAACTAACTTAGACATAATCCAATTCACACAATTTGCTTGAGTTTCTTTCTCTGAAAATAATAATTGTAATGAAGAGCAGGACTGAGAAGTAGAGTGGAATGGTGGAATGACAGAACTGAGTGGAATCAGGAAGTGAGTGATTTAATTTACCACTGCAATTCTTGTGCACTTGTAAAAATGGCTCTGCAGCACTGGGTAACCTTCCAGATGAAAATTTAGGGCAACGCTGAGAGCTACAGTCAGAGGGAAGAAAGTTATGAGTATTCCACAAACATAATGTTGTATTAAGTACCCAAAATATCCATAGGGAGAAATCCTACAAGAGAATACTCCAGACTGACTTTCTTTTGTGATGTAAGCTATTTCTTCAACTATGGGGAAAATACTGTATGAAGAGGAGAAAGGAAGAAGTGAAACAGCTCTGTTAAGCACTTTCTCACTACTATTTAGTTAATTAACTATATAACAACCATCAAAATATTAATATTTACCCAAACATGTCAATTTCCCTTCCCTTTATATGCTTACCTCCAATTCTCTTCTTGAAGCATTGGATTTCCATATAAGGATAATTCTCTCAGACCATTACAACCATTAAGCCACTGAATTACACTCTTAAGTTCTGCATTTGTTAAGGAAAAGGTGAATATAAATGGGTACAAATATTTTATTTCAATCAAAATCACTACATGACATTTTCAAGGATCTGTCAAATTAGTAGAAATTAATTAAATTAAGTTTGTCCCTTTAACTTAAAAGATAGTTTTGCAAATATCTTTAGTGGTCAATGAAGTTTAATTCACAGTCAGTCCCAACATTCCTAATCAATGCAGTGTATACATTTAGAGAGGTTATGTTCTAACACACGATGCTGAGTAGTATGAATATGGATATCATTTGTCTGCTCATTGTATCATCCAAAGGAACCTTTATTTTTTCCTAAAACTTAAGGCTAGCAGAAATCTGTGCTGATGAAAAGACTATGGGATCTTACAGCTTGTTTCCATTGTTAAGAAATAATGAGAACATAAAATATGTACACCAACTATACACACTATATGTAAGAGAACTACAACAAGCAGATCTTTAAAGCCACTTTGTATATACATGTCAGCAAATCAAAATTGTTTACAGTTACCACAAAGTGTGTGGAATGCATGGAAATCAAAACTCACCTAATAAGCAGTTGTTGCTGATATCTAACTTTTCCAAAGACACACATGAAAAAAGAGGTGCAAGTTGGAGCAAACTAGGAGAAAAACAACAAATATTTTAACAGTGATATATTACTAATGAAAGCATAAATATCAGAAACACAGCATAAACATGAGAAGTATTTTCAAGGTTCAGTGAATTAAGTGTTATCTGATAGCTATCCAAGGTGCTAGAAGGAAATTATGAGGTTTCCCCTTTTAATAATTAGCTATTTGTTGAACTTCCAGTAATATCATAACTGCTACAATATTTGAAACTAATGAGAGGTACTGCTTTAAAGAGAGCCACAGTTCTATGGAAAATTCAGGTTCTTAATGAGTTCCAAAAGTATGTGTTGTTTTGAAGTCATGATTGTCTGGGAAAAGACAAAAAAACAAAAAATTCTCTCCACTTTCTTTGGTGTTATGCTTCCAAAAAGGCACCGCATTTTAACATATATTGGCCTTTTCTATTTGTTTCATACTGACAATACTTTTCCTAATTTCAATACTTCCTTTAAGGTGAGAAAAGATCTTAAAGGAAGATGACCCAAGCCTCTTGTAAACTAGTTAAATTTTGAGCCTCCTTGGACAGATGTTTTCTTGCCTTAAAGGAAATATTAGCATTAGAAAAAGTACTGTAAGCCTATAGTAATTATAGATATCTTATTTTTTTCTTCTCTCTGTCAGATTTCTAGAGACAAAAAACAAAACAATTTTTTTTAAAGATGGCAACTTCTTGGCTATGTTTCATTTATGAGAGCCTTCAAATATAGGGTAGATTATCTTATTTTCTCATTGGCTGCAGATGCAATTCACATGCTTTTTCTGGGCCCATGGTTGAAAACCAGGAGCTTTGTGATATTAGGAGGAAGTGTTAGCATTAGTAATTTCCAGCAAAATATTCACCATGCTACAGAAAACATAGGTAGCTGTACAGTTTCTCAGCACTTCGACCACTGAAAGCTGAAACTGTGGCCAGACTGGACATTAGTCTGTTCGGAGTACTCTGGCAGTAGACATGATAAATTTTGCAGTCTCCACCTTCTATTCTCTCACCAGTATAATAGTTTGGCCACTGCACTGCTAATTGTTGAAATGCTGTAATGCAATGATCATGGTCTACATAGCATTACCATGAACAGAGACAAATACAAAGTAGCAGATTAGCTACGTACTTAAAAACCTTTCTGCTCTATAAGACATCATATGTTGTTTATTAATATTGGCATTTAGGGTGTTGTATTTTATGGACCCACATGCCTTACTCACTCTTCAGAGCTAAAATACTTATTCTCCATTCTGCTTCTATATAAGATAAACCCCACTTCACTCTGTCATTCTATATCTTCCTTTCCACTGGCGGTCTTTGTCTTTCGTAGTCTTGCTCCTTTCTTCAGAAAATTCAAACCAGAAAGACAAAGGACGTTATGGAAAACTTAATACCACTTGACCTTGTCCCAGTAGCCCTGGGCATTAATAGGATATAAATTACAAAGACGACACAAAGGCAGAAGATATTTTCTAAACTCCAATAGCTTCCTTTTTCTGGTATCATTTACAGCTAAAGTAGTCACAAAAACAGGGCAAATAAATCCAGGATATTTATATGAAGCAAATAACATTGAAACCAACTTGAAAAGTAAAACACATGCAATAGAAGAAGAAAAAAGTCTAGCCTGTGTCCTAGAATAAGCACCCACTATATGTATATATATAAAATCCTAAATTTAGCTGCTGTTCTTTCATCTTGATTTAGTCATGTTTTCACACTAATAGATGCTAATAATTTTTTCTGCTGAAAAGCTAAAATTGATATGATTTTCAACTGTTTATTACTTGCAAAAATGACATTAAGTTTCCTCAAGTTAAAAACCTATGTAAGAATAATAGCTTATAAAAACAAAAGTAAAGTTTTCGTTTATGGAACATTTTAGGTTAAGGTAAAGGTTCCCCTTGACATTTAGTCCAGTCGTGTCTGACTCTAGGGGGCAGTGCTTATCCCCGTTTCCAAGCCGCAGACCAGCATTTGTCTGAAGACAGTTTGCGTGGTCACATGGCTAGCACAACTAGACACGGAATGCTATTACCTTCCTGCTGTGGAGGTACCTATTTATCTACTTGCATTTGAATGCTTTCGAACTGCTAGGTTGGCAGGTGCTGGGACAAGCGACAGGAGCTCACTCCGTCGTGTGGATTCGATCTTATGACTGCTGGTCTTCTGACCCTGCATCACAGAGGCTTCTGCGGTTTAGCTCGCAGCGCCACCACATATTGTTATCTAATTTTAAAAGATGGTTTAAAATTATGATTAGAACCTGAGTTCATTTGCCTATTTTAATATGGAGGGTTGTCGTAAACTTTATGCTTATGTGACACTAAACATAGTTAGTGCTGAAATAGATAGGGTGAAGGATTCACAAGAGAAAGGGGAGAAAAGTATAGGAAAATAGCGTTATTCCATGCAAGCTTGAGAAAGGACATGTTGCTCAAATGTCTGCATTTTTTAAACTTGCATTTGTAAAGCATACACTGCTTAAAATAGCCGGAATTACCAATCAGTATGTTGCAAACAAAAACTTTATTAGGTGCCCATGTTTACCTTTAAAAATGAAGCCTTCCTACTACGAACTAAAAATGAAAACCTGTTATCATATATTACTTGAAAGTTAGGCTTTTCTACTTGGAGCGTTACTCTTAAGGAATATATCGATTCATAATTCTAACATTCATAGGGGCTTCCTGAAATCAACAAAAAGGAAATGACACTCAGTGCACACTCTTAAGAAAAAATCACACAACTGCATCAACGAGAGGATAAAAGCAAAGGAACAGCTTTTCTTTCAACAGCTTACTTCATTACATTCAACCCTTCTGTACAGAACATCCAATCACTTATGCCATTGCAGAGCATATGGAGTTGCTTAGAATATGGCCATATTGGTAAAGAAACTACAAATATTCACTACTGAATGCTATGTTTTTACTGCTTTAATCATCTGTTCTGCTGATACTGTCATGCATCTAAGGTATATTTATATCATGCCTATCCACTTTGTCCTCATTCTCACTTCTGCTCAAGTGATTTATATTAAAGATCTTGACACATGCAGGAGAGGTACGGGAAATCTTTGCTACTAGAAATGTCAGCCAGATATCCACTCAGCTATTATGACAAAGTGCTTCCTTCCACACAACAGGAAGAATGTTACCAGCTGTGGACTGCAGTACAGACCATCAAAGAGAAGGGGGAGAAAAAACAATACAGATCAACATATATGAGTGAGCTCATAGCTCATTAATAGAGTGCATGATTTGCATGCAAAAGGTAGATTGGCCACAGTGACTCATGCCTTCATTATCACTTAGATTACTCTAATGCCCTGTAAGTAGGATTCCACTTGAAAAATGTTCAGAAGCCTGAACTACCTAAAAGCCCTGGGGTCTGGCCATGAGTTAATATGGTTCTGCCTCTCTCCATATATCCCAGCTTGGAACCTGAGATCTTTAGTACAGGCTTGCTACATGTTTCAGGATATGTTTGTGGGAGCCTCATCAGCCTGGCCAAGGTTAACTGGGGGTTCTTGTTCCATCCCTTGATCCATAAACAATGACATGGCAGATTGAACCAACATGGTTGGGGCTTTGCAACTGAACAGTCTTCAGCACTGTTCAGGTTCAAACAGTCCAAGTCCTTCTCCCTCCTAATCAACCTCACTCGGACGAGTTCCAGCATCATTCTTGTTAACAGGAATGCCCCCATTGAATTGAGTCAGGGACCTGCCATAAGGATGGACAATATGCCCATAAGGAGGGCAATGGGGATGGTTCCTCAGTTCATTCGCCTCTCATCCCCTCACTCCTGAGTCTGGTATGCTCTTTCCTGCTGCCTCCACCAGTGTATTTGTAGCAGTTGCTCCAAGGGTTGGTTTCCAGCTTCTCCTATCCACTTCCTTTCTCCCCGGTACAATGGCCGAGGAGTCCAGGGTCCTCCTTGTATATGTACTTCCAGTCCCGATGTGGCTTGGGTTTCTCTGGAAGTTCTACCCCAACTTGGTATCCTTCGTTAGGGTCCTCTAGGGTCCTTCATCAATCTCCTCCTCCTCCTCCTCTTCAACTCTCATATTGGGGAATAGGTATCCAGCTTGTATACTACACTCTTTTGTCTCCTTCTACTTCTCTGATTCCCACTGCCCTGGCCATTCCAGTGACCTCCTTATACTGTCCTAAACTCAGGGTCCTCGGGTTGCTTTCCAGGACTGGGACTGTCTTCATGTGTTTACCCCTCCAGGGCTTCTGAATGCTCTCCTGCCCCTATTCCTCTGGGGACTCTCCCAGGTCCACTGGGGAACTTACAGTATGAAACCCCACAGACCCAGGAAGGAGGTGAAACAGCATGCTGAAAGGTGCACCCATGCCACTATTCATAGTTGGGAAGTACATAAGAGAAAATCATTTTCTCCAACAGCAGCTCAGTTGTGAAACTTCTTCTGAAGGAAGTCAAATTTTCTTTATCCTTTATGAGTTTATTGCAGGATGTGAAAACTATAGTGCTTTACATGTTATTTTGTTTATAAAAGTAGTTATAAAGCTGGCTTTTAGAGTGATCCTTTTTTTAAAGTGTTGACTCTTAACATTTGTTATTATTAAAAGATTTTAAAGGGTTTTTGTGTGTGTGTGTTTCTGCACCATTCAGACGGCCTAATGGCTGGGAAGCATTAAAAAACAAAATAAAATTAAACTTAATCCCTATATTTCTAGTTTAACATGTTTGAAAAACTCTCTGCCTGTCAAAATAGAGCATACTACATTAGAGGGATTAACCAAGGGTCTGATTAAACCAGGCAGGTTCTTAATATTCTCATGAAACCCTCCCTCCCTCCCTTCTTTCTTTCTTTCCATTTTAGGAGCTACAGAAAGTAAATTGAAAAATCTCAATAAAGGAAGAAATAGAAAGTAAAAATGAAGTACAGTAAATAAATACTATTTAGAATCTACAATCTTATTTATGTTTCGCATACATTATGCTACAGTTGTATACTTTCTTACCTGGAAGTAAGTGCTTTCGGAGTCAATGAGATTGATTTCTGAATAGAAATGCATAGGATTGCACTGTGAGGCTGCAATCTTCTGCACTTTCTTCTGAGAAAAAGCTCCATTCCACAAAAGTGGTACCCATTTTCTTTGTGTGTGCCTGGAGGTGGGGGCAATTCCAACCCAACACAGGCTGAAATCCTGTTACTTAGCATAGTCAGTCACATTAGAGTAGACCCACTGAAACAGTGGGGATTTAATGAGTCAACTCCTCCGTAAATTCTGTTGATTCAAAAAAGCTGAATATTGCTATTTTTTACCAAATGCATTTGGTTTGAAAACAGGGGAAAAAACAAACCCTAGAACTGTTTTTTTTTTAACTATTCAAGGCACTCAAGGCAATATTTATTTAGGTTTCAATGCTAATTACTTAAGTTGCAGTGCAATGACTCTGATTTGTTTAAAATGTATTTATTTAAGGAATTTATACCACCCTTGTAACTTTCGAAAAAGCAGTTGCTCAAAGTAGCTTACAAAATAAACATAAAAACAATAAGCAATGTAACACAAGCTTAAATCCAATGTCACAACATTTCCTCTCCTCCCTTTACCCTACACATGCTTCAGTATTCCTAAAATCAGTTTCCTTTCTCTAAAACAGTGGTTCCCAACCTTGGGCAACCCAGGTGCTATTCTAGTTGTGACTTACTAAAGTAAGTCAAAACTATAGTAGGCCCATTTGAATCAGATAAACTTAGGGGGAATTGACTCACCAAATCCCCATCCACTCAGTGTGCCTACTCTACACTAAGGAACAGGATTTTAGCCATAGAATTGCACTATAAATGCAGCTCTGATGAGAATGACTATGTTGCTTCCATCCATCCTGGATTGTTCAAGGCAGCCAGAAAAATCCAGGTAGTTTGTAAAATCCAGGCAGAATCCAGGAAGAAATGAAATTTCTTGCCAGAAGCAAATATATATTTTAAAATAATATCTACTGAATATTGCTATTTTTTACCAAATGCATTTGGTTTGAAAACGGGAAAAAACAAACCCTAGATCTGTTTTTTTTAACTATTCAAGGCACTCAAGGCAATATTTATTTAGGTTTCAATGCTAATTACTTAAGTTGCAGTGCAATGACTCTGATTTGTTTAAAATGTATTTATTTAAGGAATTTATACCACCCTTGTAACTTTCGAAAAAGCAGTTGCTCAAAGTGGCTTACAAAATAAACATAAAAACAATAAGCAATGTAACACAAGCTTAAATCCAATGTCACAACATTTCCTCTCCTCCCTTTACCCTACACATGCTTCAGTATTCCTAAAATCAGTTTCCTTTCTCTAAAACAGTGGTTCCCAACCTTGGGCAACCCAGGTGTTCTTGGAAGGCAATTCCCAGAGGCCTTCATCACCAACTGTGCTGGCCAAGGTTTCTGGGAGTTGCAGTCAATATTTAATGTTGGAAACCACTGCTTTAAAGCAGCAAACATCTTGTTTAGGTGTAGAAAGGACTGAAGTGGGAAGGGAAGATCAATCCATCCCAAATCTGCTAAAATAAAGGAATGATATCAGTGGATGTCCCCACTGGATTCTAGCGCATTCATGAACAGCAGCTGGAAAGGCTGTAGCACATTCCTTAGAAATGCAGCAATGGCACGATTCATTATTTCCTTGCCCCTTTTCTGTTAATTTCTATGTTAGCCTTATGTACAACTTGTCTAATTGGCACAGGTGACCAGTCAATGTCCTGGCAGAAGACAGTGGAAAATGGCTTCTTGTTCCTCCCCTGCAAGGCTACTTCGTTTCCATGCTTGTCATAAAAAAAGCCATAGTGTAAACCGCAGCTCCATTTTTCCTTTACTCACCTCTATAGCAGAATACATTTTTGTTTTCCTGAAAGTAACAAATTTTTGTGAAATTAACGGATTATTTTACTAGGTTTTTTTAAGTAGCCTGTTTGAGGCTAGTTGTTGGTATTTCTATGCATGACATACAAAAGAGCATTCCTGACTTCACAGCCAGCAGATTACAGGCTTCACTAGGCTAGCAAAAACAATTGCAGGCTACTAAATTTGGGGGGTTCATTTACAAAGTTATGTTAAATATTATTTTTAATTATTATTCAACCATTATGCCCACTTAAAATATCTAGTTTTACCTGTTTTTTGAGAGGAAAAGTATGCGTAGCAAAGGCAGCCAATATAGAGAAAGTTTTTCCAGTGTTGAAATGCTATTGTCTTCTAAGTATAATTCTCTTAACAAAACATGATTTTCCAGGCTGGGGAACTAAACATAAATCAGCAGCATATTAACAACATATTATAGTACACTGAACATGAGACTACAGTTTCTAAGGCTGCTACATACAGATATCAGACGCACTGAGTTTGGAGGGACTACTTTTGTGTAAATATGCTTAAAACCTTCTTGGAAGCCTGATATTACCATTTTGTGGTGAACAGGCAATTTATTATAAAACAACCCTGCTTAGAAGTTAAATCATAGACAGAGGTAGACATGTTACTCTGGTAAAACAAACACAAACACAAAACAGATCTTTGAGTCATCTTAAAGACTGGCAGATTAATTATGGCACAAGATTTTGTGACTAAAATTCATTCCATCAGATCCATGACACTATCTTAAGTTGGTCTGCATATAGATAGACAGATGGAGATAAAAATGGAGAGAATGGTGGGGCCAAAAGAGATACAACCTATGATATTTGGATAAGAAGCTGAACTTGACAAATACTGACTCATCCACTGATACCCCATCTACTTGCTGCTATTTCTAAGAGCTCCAGTGTTTTCTTTTCCAAAAATTGGTTTTGACACAACAGGTGTTGTTCACAACATGTTTTGAATATAATCACTGAGCTGTAATGTACGTTTTAATATAGCATACAGTACAATACAGTACATGGACTTTTTCTTTGCTACATTTGTGTGGATTGGCAGTATGTAGAGTGACTGACAAGTGTAGAATGACTGACAGATAGTGTACACTTACATTTGGAGATAGTACTTGGTTGAAAGGCAAAGGTGCATTTTAGAATGTAGAATGGTGTGGTGTGAGTATAAAATAGTAATCTGTTTAACTCACATGCACATTTTGTTCCATGCATATGAATAACAGGACTAAGATTTCATTAACTGAGTAATACGTTAAAGATAGCACATATACAGCTAGGGTTTTTACCTCATTGAGGTTATTCCCATGTAACTTCAGAATCTGGAGAAGGCCACAGTTTTCAATGCCTTCAATATGAGTAAGATGATTAAAGGAACAATCTATATATATTAGAGTAGGAACATCAGAAAGACCTTTGGTGTTGATCAATTGATTGTGATCCATGACCAGTCGCTGGAGGTTTTTTAATGACTCCAAGCCACCTAAAAAAGAAAAAAAAATTATTTGAAGGATATTAAAGTGCACAGGGTTTGACTGGTACATTAAGGAATAAAAGAATAATATACCGTATTTTTCGCACCATAAGACGCACTTTCCCCCCACAAAACAGGGGGGTGGAAAGTCTGTGCATCTTATGGAGCAAAGAAAACAGATTATATTTTCCTGTTTTCTTCTCCTAAAAAACTGGTGCGTCTTATGGAAAGGTGCGTCTTATGGAGCGAAAAATACGGTATTTAATATGTCAATCTATGATATGTAATTTGGCCCTATTCCACTGTTTTCTCCTTTATACCAAATATGTATATAGTTTATTTTGCAATTAATACTAATAAACAAAAGGACCAATAGTAGTTCTATGTCCACACATTCTGTATTTCATTTTGTTTTCGATATCACAATTATACACTACCATTCATGCAAATCTCGTAGTCTGTTTTTGTCGACAAATATTTTTGTCTGTTGACAATATACATCATATCCTTAAGAAATTCTCTGAGAAGGCTCCCATACTCCAATATAATTAGACCAATTAAAATGCATTAAAATGCATATTAATGGTACATGTTATAACAATATCATCACATAGCAGAGTTTTTTTGGGAAAAAGTTTTGAAATGAAATAAATAAAAGGATTGGGAAGAGAAAAAAGCCTGATGAGCACAGACTCTTTCTACGTACCTATCACTTCTGATGAGTTACACAAATCAATTCAAAATTTCAAATGACATAAAGCATCTGGATTGGATAGCTTTGGTGGATACTTCTACAAAATGTTTTAGGAACAATTATCACATTTGCTCCACAATCTGTGTAACTCATTCCCCCCAAACTTAAAAAGCCAGAAAAACAATATTCAATAAGCCAAATAAATTACTGTACAGTAATAAATCAGAATGCCAAGTTATTTATCAGAATTATTAGCTGATGAGTAAAATTGCCACAATATTTGTTGAAAGAGATATTTGACAACTCTGTTCCAATGAGAAGATTGTTTAAAATAATGCATCACAGTTCAATAACCAACTCAATACATGTGCCATTGCATCATTTGATGCCATGAAATCTTCTGGTAATTTGGAGTGGGGGTTCATCTGGAGAGCCTGTGAAGTCACAGAATGGTGATATCTTTCTAGAAAATATTGCAAACATTGCATAGTAAACACCAATGATGATGAGAATAAGTAATTTAGACTCAGTTCCTATAAACATCACTAGAAAACTGAGCAATGTCGCCCACTTTTCTGTACTTTGTGCCTTTGCAACATGACCACTGGCTAATATTATTAGAGCAGATTCAATTATAAAGAACAAAAATGTGGGATGCATTTATTTGCTGAGGATATGACTGCTGCAGTGTATAAACTAGACTACCATACCTTCTTTCTCAAGTGTTGAGGATTTTGGTCTACCATCAGACTTAAAGATCAGTCCAAGCAAGCCTAAGATAGTGGCTCTCAATACGACCCTTCATAGAGTATGAACATTTATCTGACCCAGCAGGGATTCCTATAACCAATATCTCTATCAAATATTTGGGAATAATGGAACCATCTCATCTAACTAAAGGTGAGCAAAATCCCTAGCATACTATGCATGGCAATCTGGTGGCAATTTTTATTACAATTAAAGGCTTCTCCATTTTCCAAAGTTTCTCAAACATTTCCCTGGGACAAAAGGGAGCCCCAGGGAACATTGGAATCTAAAAGGATGGGGATAGGAAGCTTTTACTTACTTAAAATTAAATTCTTCTGCACACCAGTGCAAAGTTACACAACAGGATTTTCTCAGTTAATATTTTAAATTACACTGCTACACTTAAACAAAAGTGTACATAATGGTAAAAATAACAGCTGTCTTTGAAGGATCTCATTGTGGAAGTCAAGATGTAAATTCTGCCTAAAGATACCCGACTTGTCTCTTACAACCTGGCAGACTCTAGGCATGGATTTTATACATCAGTTTGAGATATCAAGAGTTTCACCTGCTGTGAATTGTCATGTTTTTAAAAAGTGAAGGTATGGGGACCTCAAACTTTAAAACTTACTATGCAGTGTTCCAGAAAAAAATAGTCAATTTGAATGCTTGCTGTCTCCCAACCTGCAGTGTGGCTGCCACTGGAAATAAAATCTGAGGATTTGGACAGACTGAATAGTTGTCTATTTCTATCTATAAATTTTAATCCTACACTCTTGAATGTCAATCTCATACTACGAAAGAATTTGAAAGGAATAATAACAAAACATATTTTCTTCCCGTTTACCCTTTGATTCTTCCCTTCCTAAATTTTCTGTTAGTTCATGATGCTGACAAACGGACTCAATTTAAATTCTGGAAATACTGTAATTTATATTGCTTGAGAGAATTCTTTGATAACTCTGGTTCCAAATCAGGGGACGCTCTGCTATACCAAATGACAACTACCTCTTAACAAAATCAGCTGAAATGCATGCGGAATTTCCTAACAAAAATATTTAAAATTTTCACTTTTTTTCCTAACCAGTGGTGAAAGTGCAAGGCACTACACAATTTAGTCCACCTGAAATGTTGTTAGCTACTTCAGAGCATAATCAGCTGGGACCAGCTCCTGACCCGCATACTGTAAATTGCTAATTCAATGCCAGTGTGATTGTAAAGTTGATTCTAGTTTAGTCTGAGAAAATGATCTGGGGATATCCATTACCAGATGAAAAATCACATATTCAAAAGAACAGGGCTTAATCAATTTCAGTGTCATCCACATTTAAGGAGAACAGCATTGAGCTCCTGCACAGGGTAGCAATACCGTGTTTCCCCAAAAATAAGACATGGTCTTATATTAATTTTTGCTCCAAAAATGCATTACGGCTTATTTTCAGCGGATGTTTTATATATATTTTTCATGTAGAACAATCTACATTTATTCAAATACAGTCATGTCATCTTCTGCTTGCTGCACAATGCTGTACAATTGTGGAGGGCAGGGGTTCACTTAACTGGGGATTATTTTTGGGGTACGGTTTATGAGCATCTTTGAAATTAATACTAGGGCTTATTTTCAGATTAGGTCTTATTTTCAGGGAAACAGGGTATATGCCACTTAGTTGAAGCTACATTAGTAGAGAAATGAGTTAAAATTGTTGGGAAAAGTGTGGCTTTATCATGTGTGGTGGATGTGCTCTTAAATCCAGATGTTCTGATTCAGGGTCTTTGTAGAAATAGAGTTAGTTTCAAGGCAAAAAAATTCAAAAGATCACCAGAATTAGCTTTTCTCTCTGTGTTCCTGGGAGGTAATAAACAACTAATGAACAAACATTTGATCATCTTTCTCTATTTGGCAGCATGCATGCAGAGTTGAAAAGTAAATTGTAATTTAACTGTAGATAAATAAATAAATTTTTCTAATAGAAAAAATCTTATCAGATTTGATCAACTAAACAACCACATACCCACCATGATTTTTTTCAATATATGTTCTCTTTTATTTATTATGTCAATAACAATAATGATACATATTTACCACCTGACACTCATAGCTGTCTTGGCACATGTACTGAATAGATATGGGCAAATGCACATTTTTTGCATTTATTTATTTATACTTTTTCCAGTGAGTAGTCATAAACAAAATGCAGTCACATGATGCTGCCAGAAGAAGGGAATGGTAAACCACTTCTGTGTATTTTCTACATGGACAATCCTAATAAGATTCAGCATAAGTCAGAACTGATTTGATGGTAAATGATTATTATTATTTATTATCTGGAGATGGCATGGCTGATATATTAATTTAATGTAGCATCTGTACTTTTTTTGGTGACACTGTCTGCTCAGTGATGAATTTAAATTTTTTTTTTCTGAAAAAGCCTTTCCATGGTTTTGCAATTACTAAGGTAACTATTTGCTGACCTTCCTTGGTGATACTGGATTGAAAAAAGGGCTTCAGGAGTATATTTCAGCATTCAGACAGGCATTTCTAACAGAAAATCATGCCAATTCTGTACATGCCAGTTGTATGAAAATGTGGGTGAAAACACAAAGATAGAAAAATTATCCTTCACTAAATTAAGTGCTTCATTGATCCATTGTTAGAAAATATTATTATGAAATAATAAAGACAAATGACATACTGCTACCTGTTATCTGTATTTTGTCTGAATAAACTGTCAAATACAGGCTAATCACGTTAAACTTTATGGTCAAGTCAACTTCAACTAATAGGAAGTGAATTATAATCTATAAAAGCTCACCCTGAAATTAGTTTGCCTGTTCTTAGGATGCCACAATATTTTCATCCTAGTTTTGTGTGTTTTATTTTGTACATTTCAGCAGAATGTAATTTGTTACATTTCAGTGCAACTGTATTGTCATGTGAAATTATCTTCAGTGAAAAATGGTGAATACATGATCAAGATGTACTAAGTACCTTGATTAAGGCATTATCAGATAAAACAATAAATACACCTCCAAAGTTTACTTTATGGCTATTGCTTTTTTCCCCCATGTGGCAGACAAATGGTGTAAGATTCAGTTGTTTGTACCTGCCAATTAAGGAGTTGCCACTTGGAGGTGCATTGACATGCTGGTATGGTGAGCTTGAGAATCCCAGCAGGGCCTTTCCAATTGCCAGTGAAAAGCTAGTGAAAGTTGCACTGTTTGCCTTCCACATGCATAACAGGTAACAGGATGTTAGCCTAAGAGGCACAATTTATTGTGCATTATAAACAAAGAAATAGAGCAAATTGGTCTCAATCCTATTGCTTGGTGTTATAAATCACACTAAAATGACTGAATCAATGGGGAGTTGGTGAGTAAATTATTCTGTAAATTCCATTAATTTTAATGGCGCCTACTCTAACTGTGATTACCATTCTATAGTATGTCACTGTTAAAGTAGGCCTATCCCAGTTCAATTTACTATATTATGCAATCGAATTTTGTCCACTAAATTCTTACCAATGTACGTTTTATGTTTGCACAATAGACCAATTTCAGTACAATCTAG